TAAGAGTACTCTATTATGGATGCTATCCCAGAAAATAAAAATGTCAGAGGTTTTATGGATGTCATAGAAGATAAATTTATTGAGTCTGATAAAGTTGAAACTGGAGATCTAATGGATAAATTGATGAATATGAGATGTGATGGTACAAGTAGTGCTAGATAGCACATTATGAAGATGATAAATATATCATCTGAGCTAAAGACTCTTAAAATTTTCTTGGCCTTAGTTTGTTTTGAGTCTTCCTTTGTAGATGTGCCTTTGAATTTTTGGTGGTTAGACTCTGGAACTAATATTTATATTGCGAATTCCTTGCAAGGGTTCACAAGCAAACAGAGGTCAATTGAGAATGAAGTGAGCTTGAGCGTTGAAAATGGAGTTCAAGTGAAGGTTGAATCATAGGATAGTGAAGTAGTCTTTGGAGTCTGATTTTACCATTATTTTGGAAAATATAGTTTTTGTACCGCAAATGAGACGATATTTAATTTTTAAATCAAAACTTGATGCTTGTGATTTTACCTTCAACTTTGGTAATGGAAATGTTGAGTTAATTTATGGTTCTCATTTGATTAGGAATTGACTTTTATGTGATGGTTTATATAAATTCTCTTTAGCTCCTTTTGGTGAAATCTCGTGTGTTACGAATGTATAAAAAAAAGAGAGGCTTTAATCCGTGAATCGTCATCTATGTTGTGGCATAGTGATTATGTCACATTTTGATGGATAGAATGGAATGATTAGTAAAAGTTGAGATACTTCACCGTTTAGACTTCTCTAAGTTTGACACTTGTATGGATTGTATAAGAGGAAAACTAACTAAGTCTACAAGGAAAGTTTGAACTAGGAGTAATAGTATTTTGGACTTGATACATACTGATGTAGTGGACGTTTGCCTTCCACCATATGTGGGATCAAATAATTCATAATCTTTATTGATGATTTTTCATGATATGGATTTGTTTACCTGATTAACGATTAATTTCTTGCATTTGAGAAATTCAATATTTTCAAAATGGAAGTAGAGAAATAATGTGAAAAAAGGTATCAAAGTTGTAAGATTTGATCGTGGTGGTGAATACTATGAATTGAAAAAAAAATATTATTAGTTTGGTCGAAACATGGGTGATTTTGGAAATTTTTTACAAGAATGTGGAATAGTATCCCAACACACCATGTCAGGGACATTTGAGTAGAATGATGTTTCTGAAAGACGTAATCGAACTCTGAAAGATATGGTCAGGAACATTATGAGTAGAACAAATTTACTTAAATATTTATGGGGTGAAGCCTTGAAAACTGTTATATATATTTTGAACAGGGTTTCCAAGTAAAGCTGTTACAAAGATACAATTTGAATTATGGACAAGACGCTAGCCAAGTTTGGCTTATTTTTTGGGGATGTCAAGCTAAGGTTAGGATTTATAATACATTTGAAAAGAAATTGGACCCTAAATCAACTCATCGTTACTTTATTGGGTATCCGGACAGATCAAAAGGTTATAAGTTCTATTGTCCAAATCGTGGCACTAGAATTGTTGAGTCTATTACTGTTAAATTTCTGGAGAGTGATTTTGGAGATAGTGGGAGTTCCACATTGAGAGAAATTTTTGTTGAACCAAATCAAGTTGTTATTCCAGTTCCTGTTATAGAAGAAAGGGTTGGTTCTCAACTAATTGAAGTTGTTAATGAAGAATTGAGGAGCTAGGAGGAACCTCCAATTCCTCAAACAACAATTGAATCGATTTCTGAGCCACAAATTAGAAGATCACAAAGGGAAAGAAGATTTGCATTGCCCATTGCTTATATTACATATTTATTGGAGAGCGATTTTAATATTGGGCATATTGTTGATCCTATAACTTATAACCAACCATTGACAAGTCCTGAAGCAAATAAATGGATCGTTGTCATGGATGATGAAATGAATTCCATGGAAAGGAATAAAGTTTGAGATCTTGTTGAACTTCCTCCAAATGCTAAGGCTGTAGATAACAAGTGGATTTTCAAAAGTAAATTAGATTCAAAAGGAAATGTTGAACGAAAGAAAGCAAGATTGGTTGCAAAAGGTTTCACTCAACGTGGGGGCATTGATTATGTTGAAACCTTCTCCCCAGTTTTGTCGAAAGATTCTTTTTGAATTATCATGGCTCTTGTGGCACACCATGATTTGGAGTTTCATCAAATGGATGTTAAGACAATATTTTTGAATTGAGATCTTTCTGAAATGGTTTATATAAAACAACCTAAAGGCTTTGTTGTGAACTTGGTATGTAAGTTAAACAAATCATTATATGGACTTAAGCAAGCATCTCCACAATGGTATTTGAAATTTGATGAGGTTGTGACGGTTTTGTTGAAAATACAATTGATCAATACATTTATCTCAAACTAGTGGGAGAAATTTTATTTTTCTTGTACTGTATGTTGATGACATTCTGCTTGCTAGCAGTAACTGAGGGTTGTTTCATGAGACAAAGAAAATATTGTTTGCTAATTTTGAGATGAAAGATCTTGGAGAAACTTCCTATGTACTTGGCATTGAAATACATCGTGATAGAAATCGTGGTCTATTGGGACTTTATCAGAAAGTTTATATACGACGTGTTCTAGAAATGTTTAATATGCAAAACTGTGCACCTGGTGATGTAACCATCATAAAAGAGATAAGTTTAACGAAATTCATTGTCCAAGGAATGAGTTAGAAATAAAATCTGTGAAGATGATTCCATAAGCTAGTGCTGTGGAGAGCTTGATGTATGCTCAAGTTTGCACTAGACTAGATATAGCCTATGTAGTCAGTGTCCTTAGTAGGTTTCAGTAAAATCCAGGATAAGAGCATTTGGAAAGCAACTAAAAAAGTTATGAGATATTTAAAGAAAATTGAAGGTTACATGCTTACATTCCAACATTCAAATCACCTCGAGGTGGTAGGCTATTCAAAATCTGATTTTGCTGAATGTCGAGATGATTTGAAATCAACCTTAGGTTATATTTTTACATTAGCTAGTGTGCTATTTCCTGCAAAAGTGCTAAACAGACTCTAGTGACATTTTCTTTTATGCAAGTTGAATTTGTAACATGTTTTGGGACTACAGTTCAAGCCGTTTGGTTAAGAAATTTCATCTCTGGCTGAAAGTTGTTGATTTCATTTTAAGACCAATCACCATTTACTGTGATAATAGTGCAGCAGTATTCATTTCAAAGAATAATAAAAGTTTTAGTGGGTCAAAGCATATTGGCATCAAATATTTGATGGTTAGAGATAGAGTCAAGGATGGGCGGACGAAAATAGAGCATATCAATACAAAGACAATGATTGCAGATTTTTGACTAAGGGATTCGCTCTAAAAGTCTATAAAACACATGTTGTTAACATGGGCATTATGGAAACATTTAACGTTTTTGGTTAGTGGGAGTTAATTATGAATTATATTTTGGGCTTGATCCTTTTGTGGGGTACGTAGACAACCCATATGTTTTCGGGTACAGCCCCTTTTGATAATAAAATATTTTTCCACTATCCATGAATTATTTTGAGCATGCATTTGGTTTATGTTTTTTTATGATATTATTGTGATATCGAGATATGACAGATAAAGACATAAGATGAGTCTCTTTTAGAAATATGTGGCTTCATTTTGATCAGAAGCATTATGAGGACCGATATGGATTAGCACAATTTTTTGATCACATTTGGTGCTAAGTTCATACCACATACTACCACATTGGATGGAGGATGGAGATCCATATCGATAAGGATGTTGGCATTTGTAACTGTGGAATGGTTATACATCGTTTAATTGGTGTAATGACTTCCATGTTTGATGTTAATATTCCTGCTGGATCGGATCATGTTACGTAAGGTGTCAACATTAGAGCTATACTTTTGTGGCCACCTATGTAGTCTAATCCGGGTGTTAAAATTTGGTTATAGCAATCAAATGTTTGCCTAAGTGGGAGAATGTTGGAATAAGTTCATATGTGGGCTTCACATTCGATTGCAAATTTTACGATATAGATGTATGTCTCATAATGATATTTGTGTTTGGGCCAAATTTATTAAGTGATCAATTGAGCCTTTTACACCTTACGGATTGTAATTAATATGATGTGGTAATTTTAAGTATGTGGGTCGGAAATAAACCCTAATTAGAATTCTAATCGTAATGGGACGGCTCAATTATTTCCTATATAAATGCTAGGTTCCCTCTCCTCTCCATTATTATTTTATTTTGCTTGCCCCATTGATAGCTAATATTTTGTGAGGAGTAAGGAGGAAAAGATATAGCTGGTATTACAATTACAACTATCATTCATATCAACGATGACTTTCGTAGGTATGAATTCGTTTTATTAATTTATTTGTGATTCTCAATTCTTAACATGATTGAAAATAAATATTAACATAAACATGCTAGAATTTTAGAAGGTATGTGCAATCTAGCTAGACATGTATTATACTTTGAGTTTTGCTACTTGTATATTAGGGTGTTCAGTCCTCTCACAATAGGGAGTCCACAAAATTTTTTTTGTTATGCTTGGATCTCCCTCATTGTGAGGGGGTTGTACAACGAGTGTCAACCCTGGTGTAGAAGTTACAAAACCTTTATTCTTTGGTGAGAAAAAGTGAAAAAATATATACATATAAGAAAGTATTCAAGACTAAATTTAAATTTAAGAAAAAAATAAGTGTTTCTCCTTGACAGTGACACCTTAATCTTTTCAATAATAAAAATAAAGTTATTTGTATAAAGTTGGATTACAGTGCGTGTTGATAAAATTAAGGTCATTGATTTTAAATGATTTAAAATTACGTTTTTGAAATTATTGGTGTGGATGTGATTTTATCATTCAACTTTGTCAACCCTTTGTAAGTGTAGCATAACTCGTTAATTAATGGCTTTACACATTTTGCTACTACGTACTATTGCTTTGATCAAGAGAGATCATTGAACACAAAAATTATAAGCCTTACCACAAATTAACTTACAGAGACTCAAGCATATAAGAACACCTCAAAGTGATAATCCATCACTCCAATTTGGAATTATTATCAAACAATTTTAAATAAAAGATCAACACCACCTCTACCACCACCCATCTCCAACCTTTAATGTGGAGTGCATGAAGAACATCAATAGAAGTAAAACTTTCTAATACATAAAGAACACAGTCACATTTTACTATATATGCTAATCGATCCTAAAAGAATGGTTTTGGAGAACAAAGCCAACAATGAAACCTCATTTCTACACTTGAATTTTACATAGAAATTTGAAGCATTTCTTAATATAGTGTCATGGACAATTCGGGTTTCTACCAGGGCCACCATAATAGAAAAAATTGCCCCATTCATTATTCTTGCCAAGTTGTACACTGTAGCAATTTGACTGCTCGGTGAAAGTGTCGATGTCTTTTGGAGGCCTTAAGTTGTTCGAGTCGTCTACTACTTGAACATTCCTGAAATAACTGGCTTTGCCAAATCCTTCTTCAGGAAAATGACCACTCCCCATTTGTGTTGTGGTGTGTTGTCCATCTGATTCTGAGTTCACTACTTCTCCACCCCATTCTATCATTGATGCACTATCTGCTAAGTATGAAAATAAATATCCTGGCCAGTATCCCAGTACATACTCACCCCCAAATTGCATCCACCAGTTTCCCTCTTTGGGGTCCTGCCAAAGTTGTAAAATATCTAGTCAAAAAAATCTATTTTGGACTATATAAATAAGCGGGAATTGAGAGGCAACTTTAGTCCCACAAGTGTGAGTGGGATCCATGTTAGGTAACATGCTCGATAATACAATGAACAAAATTTAGCTTCTTTTTCTTCTGTGATACTATACAGTATTATCAATCTACCATATCAAACAGACCATGATAGGATTAAAGAACAAAAAAATTCCAATTCTTATTTTCTTGCATAATACTATCCATCACTGCACATCAAACACATAAATTTAACATGGCCATCTATCAAAGCATGGAATTTGTTTTTTGTACAGAAAAATCTACCAGAAGCAGTGACCTAAATGACGTGGACGAAAATAATTGGATGAAAAAGTTATTGTATTTTAAACTGAAAAATGATAGAGTGCTATGTGAAATTACTTAAAACATGGAAATCTTGATATACATGTAGCGTCTCCCATCAAAGCACTAATGTGAAGTAAACAATAGAGTACAAACATAAAGACACAGAACAAGAGAAGCATGTAACCATGAATAATAGTCAGAGATTCCTTGAGTAATGTATTGGAGACATTAAGAAACGCCAATTTATCTGTTATCAGAACAGCTAAGAGATTGAATTTCAAATTATTAATCATATAAAGTGGGACAGGCAGTTCAATGTATTTTACTAATAAAATTACCTTCCAGACAAGAATGCTGATATCATATTGTGAACTGTGATAGTCAGAAATGGGGTAGATGCTGGCTCCCATTGCTATTTCATTATTGATTTGAATAAAGCCTGAACACAGCAAGTTGTAGCAGCCCGTGGCTTGATAAGAATCACTCTGTCATTTTATCCCCAAATTTCAGCACACAAATGACACCATTTTACTCTAATATTATATAAATGGAACAAAAAATTATCCTCGGACTCGACAGTATTAAAGAAGTTAAGTCTAGTCCAATACTACGTACAAAATTTGTCGCGTTATCAATATTTCGAATTAAACCAAGCAAAATTTGAGTGCTTACTGTCCAATAGGTGAAAAGTCTTGTGTTGCTATCCCCATATAAATCTGGACTAACCTGTTATCCCAAAAATTGGTAAATGAAGATTAGTAATATATTATTGGTAAACAATTGCTTGTAAGAAAGTAATTACTTGTGGTGAAAAGTACCTGCCAACCAGCCTCGATACTGTTTAAATCCGAGGCAAATGAACCACCCAAAATCCAAATCTGGGACAAGCTGAATTCATTTGATTGTTGAATTTTAGGATCCCATACATTTATTGTTGCCTTTGCTCCATAATATTTGTCTCCTTCAACATAGGCTATTGCATGCTAAACAACTCCAAAAATAACAAAATGCCCCCTCAAAAAATATCAGTTAAACAATTTTTTGAAAATAGAGAAAAGTAAGATAGTTGAGACTCTACTTTGTAAAAAAAGGTTCCCTTTCCTTTTGCCTTCTGTTCTTTCTTATACTTTAATGTAACCAACCCAGATAGAAGGAGTACCTGATGACCACTTTGGTTGATAAGGTCAGGTTCAGGATCAGCAGACTTTGGTTTAGGGACGCTTCTGTGATTTTTCTTCCCATAACTCTTAATTGAACTTGCTCTCAATAAGTCCTCTTTCTTTGTTCTTCTTATTGGAATTGTGCCCTCTGGGCATCTCCCATTCTCGTGCCACAACTGAGTAATCGGTTTTGACCCTTCAACATTTTTGCCCACTTTTTTGTCTCTAAATAGTCCTTCTGGATGATAATTCGGCCTCATCTACATCAAGCAACTACTTAAAATCAAGAACCAAATAAACAAATTAGAAACATTAAAGAAAGGAAATTTTCTGACCTGAATTGTATGATTTTTAAGTAAAGGATGATCAAAAGCTGGTTGATGAGACATATGAACACAGTCAATGATGTCTCCATCTGGGCTCTAATTATCAAGAATCAAACCACAATAAGTAAGCAATTATTGTATAAATATACACAAATCTGCTCATACTGTAAACTTATTCCTCCACCTTGATGGACTTGAGCGGAGGTTTGTTCAGACTGTTCAAGTGCTTCTTAACTTCAAGATTCTCCATGCTCAATCTGGTTGCACTGCCATGTAAAGGCGCCGCTAGCAAAAACATGAAGCAAAAAAGAGCCCTCGTCCTCATTTCAACACTCGTAAACTGAAGTGCCATAGCTTCAAATCATGAGTTGAAGGTTTGAATACTTTGGATTCACCAATTTGCTTATCCTATCCTAATATAGTACTTATGAACACTTTTTGAAATGGCGTTTTAATTTCAGAAAAATCCAAGAAAGCCTGCCGACGCTTTTTCAATTTGTCTCGTGAAGGGGTTAAAGGGCAGAAATGGGAATTTGGGGTATGCAAAAGAGCGCGACAAGAGAAAGGACAAGAGTCATTTCTTTCCACTTCTTTGTCGTTAGTAAAAGTTGGGTTCTTTGTCGTTTCAAAGTCATTGCTGTGAAGGCATATCCCGTTTGGATTATATACACTTTGGTCCTTAAAGTTGGAGTGAAATTTCTTCAATTTTATTTTGTCCCAAATAAGTCACAAAAGATTACGTAGTGTTCCAATCTGGTCACTCTATTAGAAGATTATTAAGTCCCGTTTGGTAGCAATTTTTTTTCAAAATGCATTTTTCTCTTTCTTTTTTTCAATCACACATTCTTTATTAAAATAATATTACACGTAAATCAAAATTTTTTTCTTATTTTTCAACCATACACTTCATATCAATTTACTACTCTAAAATACACTTTTACATAAAAATGTCTTTCAAACACTCTCTAAATCTTAAATGTGTGCCTTTATACCAGGAGTGTCAATATTGTGAACGGAGTCGTCCAACCCAATCTCATTTTTCTTTCATTTTTTGAGAATTTAAAATGATTTAATTTAAGTCATAATTGATGGAAAAAATGAATAATATGTGAGAGACAGGAGATTGTGTAGAATTTAGAACGAAAGAGGTGTTGGGTCAGGAATTGAAAGAAAGCTCAACAGCTTTTTAATTTAATTTTATTTTTTAATAATCAAGCTAACTAGGTCGGCCATCATGGTTGTTGGGCTATACAATTAGGAAAATTCTGTTTGTACATAATTATTGTACATAATGGTGCCCATAATGTGATGTGACAATCATCCGGTTGTTGATGTACAAGTGTGAGATTTGAATTAATAGCTGAATCCAGTGCCACGTGTAATTATATACATTATTATGTAAACAATTATATACATGTAACATTTCTCATACAATTAAGTCTAGCACGACAAATTCATTATGGTAGACCAACTCATGAACAAGCCTAAATAGGGAATATTGGCTTCAATCCAATTTTTAATGAGGCGGGTAATCCTAAACCTATACGACTTGACCCATTTTGATAGAAAACTTGAAGTCGCTTTACTCAAATTGATATCACAATTTGAAAAATGATTGTAATGCTCCAAATAGGCCAAAAATGAAACCAATTACGAGAAAAAATAGATTTCAAATATGTCATTTCATATAGTTAGCGACATTAAAGTTAGCATAACAATGAAATTAATGTCTCATTGGTACACATCGGCTTTAATAGTGTACTATAAAATTTGAAGTTGATTTAACTGGCAACATGATCAAATTGAAATTATTATAGCAAAGTCTTATCGGGTCATTGACTTGGATTTAAGACTTCATTGGAGGCAAGGGTGATTTTTTATTTTTCAAAAATCTTAAACCATTAGAAAACTTTGATGAATAAATTGGCAAAACCTTAAGGACTAGTTTGGAATTTTCTACTACTTTTTAGACCAAATGTGCATTTACCCTATCCTCTTCCCGTGTAATAGTTAGAAAATCCTGTTACTTCACATGAAATCTATGTATTCCATTACATCATTATCATCTTACGCAAAATGATTCTAATTATGGAGCCGAAATATAATTAGTTTAAACTATTTTAATATTTTTAGTAGTATAATTGGTCGAGAAAAATATCGTACAAGTTACATCCCTCGGTTCACATGATCATCTTATGTGAAGTTTTCATTCAACTTGAACTATTAGAATTATATATCTTAAAAAGTCAATAAGTAAAGATTGATTTTTAAAAACAAACAAAGAGCACAAGACTAATAAGTAAATTATGAGTTATTGAGGTCGACCAACCTTTGATGTGGAACTTAGGCTGTTCATAATCACAATTACACGTCTGAGTTGTGTTTCATCCAAAATTTAGTTCAACTTTGTTAGAATCTGATAGAAGTTTCTCGAACTCATAAACAAAACAACACCTACCGTAAATTGAAAAACCTATTGAAAATCTTTCAAAATCGAAAAACGAGCTTGGACTACATACTAGATCTCAACTCTATCCGTTTTTTTCCAAAAAAAAAAAAACCTTCGAAAATATTTTGGTAACTCAAATGATATGTATATAATGTGGATCGCACTTCAAATGATAATACTTTGTAAAAATATTCGATAACTTTAATGTGGATCACACTTCATTGTAAGATTTCACTTAAAATTAATTTAATTACGATTTCTTACCAAAAATTAACTTAATTATAGACTTTAATTCTTTTGTGTAGTACATGACAATATAAAATTCGTGTTGCAACAATCACTTGAAGAATTCATAGATATCTCCCAAACTTCTTCCAAGTTCGTGCTCTAGTCAATTGAAGAATTCATATTTTCACTTCCATATTTCTAACAAGTCAAGGATTTAATTAAATTAGATTGATCGAAGATTTTTTGTTACTCAATTTATATTAAATAGTTTTTTCTTTTAAAAATTCAACTTTGGATAAAAATAAATTACAACTTTTATGATTTTTCCTACCTTATGAGATATAATGTTGACACGTATCAATGTCAAGTCATTTTTCATTTTCGCATCAATGAAACCTAGTTTCATGAAATTATGCCGAATTTTCTCCACAATGTATTTAGCACATGTTTGGATGTGCTTATAAGCACTAGAACCCACTAAATTTGTAGTTTGAAAAATAAATAAATTGTAGGTTCGACGCAATAACTGTAATACCTACTTTTTTTTTTTTTTTTTTTTAAATAACTTAAAGCATGATGATGACAACTACACTGTTAGAATTGAATTAATCGTCTCATTCTCGTCTTAACACTGCCTGATTGATTTGTTTAATAATTTTTGGTGAATTCTAGGAAGGAGACGTTAATCAAGAATTATTTTACAAATTACATGTTTTAGAATATCATTAGATGAAGATTCTGTATTGTGATCTGATATTAAACAAACTTTATATGAATAAAATCAACACTATCAAGTCAGTTGGATGCCAATAAATAATTGTATTTGCAAAACTAGAAGAAAAGGACAAAAATCAAAGGGACAGACTGGTTAGTCCCCTTTAGTCTAAACAATTTATTATTTTTATTTTTATTTTATTCTCCTTTAGTACTCATTAAACACCCTCTTTTTTATTTCTATCTTTTGTTTTAATTAATTAATTTGTTTATTTTATATCTTTTTTATATTTCATGTAATATGAAAATTACTATTGAAAATGTTATCAAATTTACGATATTTCAAATGTAATTTGAATATAATTAGAGCAAAATAGGAGCCGCAATATTTTTCTTAGGACATTTTTTTCTTCATTTAGTGCTTAAGGTTTCTTATACAAGAAGAACATCTATCACATAAGAACCAACAAATGTAAACTCTCTCCTTTTATCGGAATTCGACATGAACATCAATACAGAATTTATATACGAAAGATAGATTTTTTTTTTATATATAAAAAAAGAGCGAGCAAAATAAATATTATTGAAATACGTTATTGAATTTTTATTTTTTTTAAAAATTGCTTTAAATGTGGTCATATATCTCCTCTAGTAGAGATTGCAATTTGTCAAATAAAAGTTTATTAACATTAAAATACATAACCATAAATTAAATAAATATGAATATTTCTTCTTTTCACAAACTACTTTTTCACTCAAAGTCTTTCTAACAATCGTTTTCCAACAATGGTGGGTTTGTTAGTTTTGCTTTGGTGGAACCCCTGTCTTATCGTGGTGGGTACCCGAGTTGGGAGAAGAGTGCTATAATTTTATCTTCAATTTGATTGGAGGATATAAAGTTAAGGTACTCAAGTCTCATCAAAGGACCACAATGTCTTGTTAGTAAGAACTCGTGAACTAAGATTGAATGATAATAATAAGATTATCTTCAGACATCCTTTGTTGAAAAGGAAAATATTCGAATGAATATGCATTTGTTTGTCATTATTTTCTGCCATACATTTCAATGAATCTTACTTATCCATCACAAGCATCTATATCTTTTGTAAACTAAATGTTTATAAATTCTTATATATATATATATATATATGTTAAAGAACGAAACAACATGTGGATAACGCTCTCACAACATTAAATTTTTTTTATTATAGTTCCTGTTTCTTACAAATTAATATCTCTATATGTAGCCCCTCATGGGGTGGTCGAGTTGGTGACGTAGGTGAGTACAGAGATTTTTGGTCACGAGTTTGATTCCCCCTACCAACACTTTCTCGATCGAACTTGTCGCACAGAACTTATGTAGTGCGATTTAGCTGTCTGGCGTGATTTGCAGGCTATTGCGTCAGCCCGAGGGTTTACCCAGTGGGCACCCGAAGGATAACAGTTGCATGTTCCCCGTAAAAAAAAAAAAAAAAAAAAAAGTTCTCTATATGTAAAAACTTCACTTCAACATTGATGTCAAAATTCAATTATGAATTATGAATTGTTGGTTTTGTATGATTGAGGTGTAATCATAGTCCAATCATTAGGGTTGGGATTAATGAAAATAATAAGAAGCGCAAATCATACCAGCAAAGCTAGAAAACGAACAACTAGAATTCACGTCGGAGGAGTTTTGAGCGTGAACTGCCACTCATACAGCGGCAAGGATCTGCACTCTCGAAGGAGCCACCAACGGTCCGAATCACTGTAGAAACGCTCCCTTTACTCGATGAATAGCACTTATTCTCTTTCAATCAACAAAATGAGAAATGAAAGAGAAAGAAAAAGAAAGAAGTCCTCATTGAAGAGGCTATGCATCTAAAAAAGAACTAATTCTGTTCAATTTAACCTGGATCACTAACAAGAGAAAAATTGCCTTGAGGACATAGTATGAATTCGATCTAGCTCGAATTTTGTTCTATTTACAAAACAACAAGTTAATCTAATTTTGTAAAAAAAAATGCAAGGTCCCGGTATAGCATGATCAACAATTATTTGTAAAATTGAAATAAATTATGAAAAATATCA